CTAGAAGTAGCACTTGTTCTCATTACCGACATCTATGATATTCTAGAAGTAGCACTTGTTCTCATTACCGACATCTATGATATTATAGAAGCAGCACTTGTTCTCATTACCGACATCTATGATATTCTAGAAGCAGCACTTGTTCTCATTACCGACATCTATGATATTATACAAGTAGCACTTGTTCTCATTACCGACATCTATGATATTCTAGAAGCAGCACTTGTTCTCATTACCATATCTATGATATTATAGAAGCAGCACTTGTTCTCATTACCGACATCTATGATATTCTAGAAGCAGCACTTGTTCTCATTACCGACATCTATGATATTCTAGAAGCAGCATTTGTTCTCATTACCGACATCTATGATATTATAGAAGTAGCACTTATTCTCATTACCGACATCTATGATATTCTAGAAGCAGCACCTGTTCTCAGCCGAATCCCTGCCTGAGATGACAGAATGGCTGAAAACAATCAATGAAGCGATTGCCGATGAGAGACATGACCAAAGTAAAGCTAGCCATAAAAAGGTGAAAGGAAAACAAAAAAAGGAATATTTAAGGCCACGAAGTGCCGACAATAGTCCAATTTTTCAGGTGGGGTATAAAATTCAGTTACTATTAAAAGTTACTAAAAACTTACCTCAATTCGCTGTTGTTAACATATATTGTTAATTTGGTTTTTAGTTTCCTCTTCTTCTGCATTTTTAAATGACTTATAATTTAGAGTGGAAAGTAATTAGAATGATTCCAATTAGGTAACATATGCTTAACACTACTGAAATGTGTCACTGAGTAGCTACCAGCTTAGAATGATTCCAAATAGGTAACATATGCTTAACACTACTGAAATGTGTCACTGAGTAGCTACCAGCTCAGAATGATTCCAATTAGGTAACATATGCTTAACACTACTGAAATGTGTCAGTGAGTAGCTACCCATATGTTACCTAATTGGAATCATTCTGAGCTCTTAACACTACTGAAATGTGTCACTGAGTAGCTACCAGCTCAGAATGATTCCAATTAGGTAACATATGCTTAACACTACTGAAATGTGTCACTGAGTAGCTACCAGCTCAGAATGATTCCAATTAGGTAACATATGCTTAACACTACTGAAATGTGTCACTGAGTAGCTACCAGCTCAGAATGATTCCAATTCACATCCGTCATAAACCTTTGGACTATGTTGACATTGTTATCGAAGTATAGGTGCCAAAATTTAATTGGAAATACTCAAATTAGAGAAAACTTTGGCATGAATTTGTGAAATGAGAAAACAGATAGAGTTTTTGTCTTACGTTTCTATTACAATGGCCATGAATCATGTTTTTGTTTTCTTTTTTCCTTTATATAAACTAACTGTTAAGACGCTGTTGGAAATATTTTATCCTTCCGGTTGTTGAAATTATGATTGAATTATGTTTAACTTATCGTGTTGGTAATTAATTATTACGATAATATTTTAGGTGACTACTATTCGACATACCTCAGACGGATCTCTTGAACTGCCCTCTGGTGAACGTCTCTATACACCAACAAAACACAGAGACCGGGGACCTCGTGGACGTCGGCTTCCGCAAAGAAAAACAGTGATAACTACGGTAGAGTGTGACTTTCCCTCTTTCCTGGAAAATCGGAGTTTGAGTCTAACACTTATTCCGGCGGTTTGCTACGATTCCAGTGAAGTTTGACTGTTATTTATTTGTGATGCATATGCATGGAAACTTTGTTTAGTTATAGCATGTGCACTGTTGCAGCTACTCTTGTCCGTTAACTTCAGAATGTTATAGCACAAACAAAGATGAAAAGCGTGAACTTGAGCATGAGTTTGTCCACGTGCATGACGTGCTTTCAGTTTTGTTTATTATTTTCTTAATAAATACATTCATATCCAGAACTTTAAGTTTGAAATTTAAATACGTCAAGACCCAATTGACGTATACACATTTCGAATAGAATATTATTGTATGATTTTTTTAAGTTAGTAATATATTTCAAAATATAATCTTTTCGGCAAGATATTGCATTTATGTGAGAATTATATCTGAACAACAAAATAGTAAAGCGTTACCAATGAGCTATATTGAAAGTGCATTACGAGGAAACACTGGTTCATGTAAAAATATATGCAAAAAATAATAATTTTACAGTTTTTACCTAATGAATTTAATTGCTAAAAGTATTTGGATTGTAAGCACTCGTAGAGTATTGTAGATACACTCAACAAGTTTTTAATTTGTGTTATTGTTAAAGTACGAAGTAGCATGCATGATGTGTCTTGTACGGTGTATTTATAATAGCAAGCCGTATTTTCACCTTATCTTTATCGCATTTTTATTTTTGATAATTGCAAGTAGGTGTTCACCTTGTACTTTAACGTGTTTATCGAGTCTGAGAGTTTCACGGTTGTTTTTCACTGTTGCCAAGTCCGCTTATTATACAATGCGGTATTGGGCTTGTTTTGTTTTCATTCTAGAGCCGCTTGAAATTTTTTAATACTGCGGATTGGAGTTTTTGGGTTTATTTTCAAATTAGTCACTTGTTTTTACAATTCCTGAGGATCATAATAGAAATCCTCTTTCATAGAAACTAAATGCTGCTTGAGATGATATCAAACCAATTATAACTTTTCACTTGTTACCGTGTTTTTTTTTTACTCTCTCTCTCTTCTATATATATATATATATATATATTATATATTTGTGTTGTAGTAGTAGTACAGTTAACTTTTGCTAAATTCTAAAAGCTATTGAAGTGTTTTAAATACACAGAAATATACGAGAAAAACTTGTAATCTCCACTCCCCCCACATTTGTTTACCTATGAGAATCGAACAAGTTAACTTGTAATTGGACATGTATAAGATTATAATTATGTCTGCTACAATGAAATCACGTTTCAGTACTGGGACTTACAATTTTCAACTTATGCACAATGAGGCAAACGGTTAGTTCAAGACTGATAAGATTTAGATATAGAGATTTATAATTTTGAACTCTTGACTAGAGAAGGGGTAATCAATCAGCAGCATCTGCCGCCATTGGGGTCCGAAATTTTAAGTCTAATAACGTCATTGACGGTCAGTCTTCTAACATACCCACAGCTAAAAGTGCGGAGCGTGTTCAGAGGAATCGCGTCTTGAACCTTGGACCTTTCGGTACACAGCCTAGTGAATAATTAACCTCGAGGCTACCCTCGAGCAGGAGCAGTATCTACTGATTGTTTTTGAAGGCTTGCATTACCTAAATCATTTCCAATTTTTTTAAACTAGATTAAAGAAATTAGAAAGTCATAAAACTAGTTAGGTATACATGTATATATATATATATATATATATGCATATAAGTTGTTGTTATGCGTATTTGGGATAAAGTCGTTAGTTATCTATTTGAGAGATTGTTAAATCATAAGTATAAAATGAGTGATGAAGTGCAAGAGTCTCAGGATAGGTTCATTTCTATCGTAGTATATTTTTGTATTCATATGTAAGATACAGATTTCGATAGATATGCTACAGAAGTGATTCTGAGTCTACTGAACTCGGTGTAAATAGAATTAGTGATGATAGACTAACCAATATAGTTTATTTGTTATGGTATAATGTGCATTATTATTGGGAAATGTAGAAAGATTAGTGATAACAACTGTTTTTATTGCTTAAAGCAGGTGTTCTCAACCTTTTTTTTTGGGGGGGGGCATCCCCACTCTACACAAATTTGTAATTTCGTCCTCCTATCTTATACATGCACACACACACATACAATCATAACTTACGAGATTTTCACGAACAGAGAATGTCAATGAAATTCGAAGTCTGCTCCGATGTATTCTCTGCCTTATGTTATAAATGCGGCTTTTTCTAGTTCGGAATAAGAAACGATGTAAAAGTGGATTTCAAAACATCAGTGTTAAATATATCTGAATTTGTATATTTTGCATTTAAACTGTTATTTTACTGTATTATCTGAACACTGCTACATCCCCTAGAAAGTTGGACATTTTCTGCAGTGCGCTCTCCACTGGCTTAGAACACCCGGCCTAAAGTAATATTATTGTTAATGTATGTTAATGTGTTTGTTATTCTGTTGTTAATATTTGCAACATAGTTTAATATGAGACTAAGTAAAAGTCTTTGATAATTCATATATGCTTCACCGAACATATTGTGTTTTTAATGTATAAATTATTCAAATATATAAATATTACCTTAACCTATATCACAAACTCGTAATTTTATCACAAGTACCACTAATCAAAAACATCTGTGTTTTCCATCTTATATACCTATTAATTTGTTAAATGAAAGAAAATTAACATTGTAAGAACAATTTACTGATTTAGGCTATGAACAGTTAAAGAAAACAAGATTGAACTGACGTTACGTAGAAATAATTAATTATATATGTTTTCAGAGTTTTACATATTGTAATAACAGAATCATAATTCAATAAAACTATCCACAATATAAATTGCTTGCGTAGACACTAACCTGTGTTCTGCTCCGTTCCTCAACAGAAGTTGATAAAGATAGTCGTAATTCGATGTCAGGTTGTGTTCTTAACCTTAAAGCAAGAAAAATATACGACAATATTTATTTTCTTCTCGTATAAAGAATACATTTTTACTTTGTACTATATATAACACCACTTTTGTTTGTTTAAGAGCTAGAGAAATGAAAGTCCACAATATACAATACCAGGAATTATTTTAACTTTTTAAAATGTTACTAAACACAATTCTGCTTTTTGTTAAAGCGAACGATTTAGGAAGTTGTTTCAAGGGTTATTAGGGTTACTAGAGATACCAGATATTCTACTCAGGACTTCCTTAATAATCCGTCCCCAGTGGCACAGCGGTATGTCTGCGGACTTACAATGCTAGAAAACTGGGTTTCTAGTAGTAACTAGTCATTTGTTATGAAATTTCGGAATATTCTAAAAAAGTTAATTTTCTAAATTTAAGGTCAAATCATTACACATTTGCAAATGGCAAATTAACTTTGTGAAATATCCCTTTTTTGACACAGAGAAACGATTTTTTGAATTTTAATCGTTTTGTTTTTACTACTGCCCGGCATGGCCAGGTGGATAAGGCGCTCGACTCGCAATCTGAGGGTCGCGGGTTCGAATCCCCGTCCCACCAAACATGCTCGCCCTTTTAGCTGTGGGGGCGTTATAATGTGACGGTCAATCCCACTATTCGATGGTAAAAGAGTAGCCCAAGAGTTGGCGGTGGGTGTTAATCACTAGCTGCCTTCCATCTAGTCTTACACTGCTAAATTAAGGACGGC